GTGTCATATCATGTCATATCTCAACTCAGCAAACACGTGCCAAAAAGAACAAAAAAAGAACAAGCCAAGTGGCTGATTCACGATCTTCATAAGCTCATCAGGCTTGTCCTTCAACTGGTGGATTCGCTCTTGGATCTTCTCCTGACCTAGTTGCAAGCCAAAGCTCGGATCCAATTTGGCCTTTGATGTTACCCCGAAGTCCGTAGGCACCTTGGCCAATTTGCTCAGCTGCTCAGGATTCATACGCTCACCCTGACCGAAGGACTCAAAGATCTTGGTCCAGCCATCCATGCCTTGAAATGCACCAGCATGAAATAAGTCTTCAAAGCTGTCTGCTTTGACGTCCAGGCAAGCACCAGTGGTCAAAAGGCCAAAGCAAAGGACACCAAGCAAGGAGGTCATTCGAATTAGATGAACGGTTGGAGTGGAATGCAAGGTGGTGTGAATGCTCCTGCCTGGCTTGAACCATCAAAAGGGCATGTCAAGCGGCGTGCCATCAATCCTGTTTGGAAGGTCTTCAATAGTTGGTCACTTCGTCTACAGGTTGCCATAATATGAAGATTGGCAGAGTCGACTGATGTTGACCAACATGAGGCCAACGTGATGGTGAGAAAGTTTGTTGCACTTTCAATATAACCGAACAAGTAACTTGGTAACGAAAAGGAGATGACTCATGATGCTGCTTTAAAGCTTTACAAATCTTATAGCTGCTCAAAGGCTGAGCTCTTCTATCAAGTCTTGATGCCAAGCTCAACGTCTCAGACAATCCAGGGACTAGACTGAGTTCAGCTGCTGCTTCTTCTCCTTCTACAGTATCTCTTTTTTTAAATCCATGTTTCTTGTTTTTCCATCTAAGTGCTTGCAGGCAGATTCATTGATCGCCGAGGCAGGGCCAAACCTTGTGCCATTTGAGGCACCACTCAAGCAGGGCCACGGCCGGACCCATACCGTCGCCACATCGACTCACTTTGCACAGCCCTCTGTCCGAGCACAGCTTAGCCGTCGCAGTTCCTCAATCGCCTCATCGCTAAAGAGCATCTGCAAGGCTTCCGGACTGTGGATGATCTCTTTCATAGCAGGATCTGCAGCGGCCATCTCTTGCACCAGAGGGTTCCTGGAAGTTGGACACCATCGTCACAAAAGAGAAACACAATTCAGACAGTTTCTTCTCTTCTTCTCCTCTTGTGTCATATCATGTCATATCTCAACTCAGCAAACACGTGCCAAAAAGAACAAAAAAAGAACAAGCCAAGTGGCTGATTCACGATCTTCATAAGCTCATCAGGCTTGTCCTTCAACTGGTGGATTCGCTCTTGGATCTTCTCCTGACCTAGTTGCAAGCCAAAGCTCGGATCCAATTTGGCCTTTGATGTTACCCCGAAGTCCGTAGGCACCTTGGCCAATTTGCTCAGCTGCTCAGGATTCATACGCTCACCCTGACCGAAGGACTCAAAGATCTTGGTCCAGCCATCCATGCCTTGAAATGCACCAGCATGAAATAAGTCTTCAA